TCCAAGAAAGTTTATAAATATTATAAAATTTATTACTACCTAACAATAAGTACTTCCCATGTACTTTCACATGATATGTTGGCTTTTTATTTTTATAATATAGAAATATGTGAAATTTTACCTTGAATATTGAACTTTTTTGGATTTTATCAGATTTTGAACACTTATATCTTCGCAGGCGATTAATGAAAAAATCCCATTTTGGTTTTAAAATTTAAGTTAAATCTTCTTTATTCATCTTATCAAAATTTGGTGATGGAGAACGAGCTACTTTTTATTTTTATTCACTTTAAAAAATTCACCGTAAAATACAAAGAACCCCGCACAAAATGTACAGAAAAAAGATCCCTGTCGATTTTGATTAAACTTTGGGAAATTGTTGCTTTTGTAGTAACAGAGAAAAAAGTCTTATGATAAAATCCAAAAAAATGGACAGATTTTTTGTTAATTAATGTTTAAGTTGACAATTCACAGTGTACAAGTCGGTGATGCTTAAAAGTGAACAAAACGAAAATAGTTAAATAAAAATGCTTGATACTTGTTGCACGGGGGTTTTCGGAGTCGCTGATTACGAATCTACAGTCAGATTTCAAAAATTCAAAATGGCGGACACAATATGGCAGATGGTTTTTTTTAAGCATCACCGACTTGTACACTGTGAATTGTCAACTTAAACATTAATTAACAAAAAATCTGTCCATTTTTTTGGATTTTATCATAAGACTTTTTTCTCTGTTACTACAAAAGCAACAATTTCCCAAAGTTTAATCAAAATCGACAGGGATCTTTTTTCTGTACATTTTGTGCGGGGTTCTTTGTATTTTACGGTGAATTTTTTAAAGTGAATAAAAATAAAAAGTAGCTCGTTCTCCATCACCAAATTTTGATAAGATGAATAAAGAAGATTTAACTTAAATTTTAAAACCAAAATGGGATTTTTTCATTAATCGCCTGCGAAGATATAAGTGTTCAAAATCTGATAAAATCCAAAAAAGTTCAATATTCAAGGTAAAATTTCACATATTTCTATATTATAAAAATAAAAAGCCAACATATCATGTGAAAGTACATGGGAAGTACTTATTGTTAGGTAGTAATAAATTTTATAATATTTATAAACTTTCTTGGAAAATATAAATAAAATGTGACAAATTTTGACATTTTACAGGTAAGTTTGAATATTAATTTTCACGTTGTATTTTGGCTTTTTTACACAATTATCAATTAACATTGGTAAATTAGACTATTTTAAACAAATATCAATGAAAAAAAATTTACTAACTGAATTATTTCTGTTCTTTTTTATAAAATTTCCAAAGCTGTCAAACTAACCTATTTTCCGTGCAACTCAACTTAAAAACTAAATTTCAACGTAAATAAAAAAAAATTTCATAAAATAATTGTGAAAAATGAATTGTACGGATATTCAAAGTCATTAATACGAAATATCAAATTTTTCTAAAAATAGGCCGCAACGACTATAAGTGAAATAAAATGGAATGACCCTAATAATTTTAAAAAAAGTTACAGACTTTAGGCATCGTAACTCACAGACAGAATGTCCGCTTTTTCATGGAAATGCCCTCAAATCTATATTTATTAAAAAAGTAAAATTTTCTAAATTAAGTTCACATTTTTTAGGTTAAATAAACAACTCAATATAATTTCTGATAACCTTTTTAAGGCATTTTAAGAGAAGAATGCATAAAATTAATATGTAAAATTTACTTATTTCTGGTTTTTTGATACAAAAGTATATAAAAATTTACTACACGGAATAAAATAATAAAATAAAATAAATACAAAGCTTTTTGATATTCTTGCATATATCCATTTACAAAATTCAATTTTGTGTTGTCTACAAAATAGTTTTTTAAAATGTTCTAAAAAACCTGTTCAAAGTGTAAAATTATTCAAAGTAACTTTAATCAGTTGTATAATTTGTTTTGAAAATTTGGAATTTTTTACAAAATGTTTTATTGGTTAAACATTTTGAACTAACTTCAATTTTATAAAAATCACATGCATTAACCTGATAAAAATTGAGAAAAATTTAAACATAATTAGGATCTCAAAAAGTATCTTCGGGACCAAAGCGAATTTTTTTCCAGTGTGTGTATTTAGTGATCAATTAGATATTGCCCAAGTTTTGTAATTTTTCAGTTTTCTCCAAGAAAGTTATTTACATTTGAAAATAGTGAAAATAAGCAAAGTGCCAATTTTTATTGCTTTTTATTTCACATTTATGAAGAAAAAAGGAAAAAAGTGCTAAGAAAAACTAAAAGTTAGTCACAGGTACTTTATATTTGGTAAGGTTTTTTTCAATTTAATGACTTCTCTTTCTCACATTTAATAGATGAAATTTGCAAATTTAGGTTATTTGACAGGCGAACTTGAAAATCATATTTTATATATTATTTCACATATTTAAATAATTACATCAATTGATAATGATAAATTTATTCATTCTAAGTAAATTACAAAAAAAAATTTTTATTTTCATGGTAAATTCTACGTATTTTTGCATATTTTCTAATGGCTAAAAAATTGACAGTTTTCAGCACCTCATATACTTTAAATTCATATTTTGCAATAAATAATTAAAATTTTAATAAAATTCTTTTCATTTCGTGATCTTGATAACTTCAAAATCATTCCTGCAAAGTATTATAATTTTTAAAAATTAGTCAGCGACGACTTCAGTCGAAATATAATGGATTGACCCTATATTGTTTAAATATTTGTAAAAACTTCAATTTTTACTGTATTTAAAAAAAATTATTGTTCAATTTTGTATTGTAATGTACAACTAAAAGTACCTACAATATTAATGAAAATATTCTTCCTTTGTTTTAAAAAATGCCAAAATGCACTTTAGTAAAATTTTTCAGACAATTTCCTAGTCTTAATTTTTTTATGTATTTTTAATATAAAACTAAAAGTTGCAAAAGATTTAAAAACGTACAACTTAGGGACTATATTTGTTATCACTAAATATAAATACACACACATACACACTTGCTTACTGAAAGTTTCGTCTTTGTCACAAAGCTAGTTTTTAGAAGTATCCATGTTTAAAACTTTTCTCTTTCTAAGTAGAAACATATTTTTTTCTAATTTTAAATTACTTTCACCTGATATTAATTTTTACTTATAAATTTTTTATATTTATTGAGTTTAATTAAAACAATTTTCTTAAAAATCAGAAAGTACTTATTAATTCTCTATATTGACTATTATGTAAGTATTAATTTATTTCAATCATTCCCTGATAATTAATTACAAAAAAATTACAAAATTGAATTAAATATTTTTAAAAAATTTTTTATTTCTATTTCATATCTTTTTTATTTCTTAATTTATTCAACAATAATAAATGTAGTCATCCTAAACAAACATTAATAATAACTTTTTTATAGGTGCAGCATTCCATGGGAAATTTTCATTTAAAATTTTTTTTTTCCCGAAACATTTTTTTCGAAATCTATATGAAAAATAAGAAAATACGTATTTTTTTATTTAATAAAAAAGAAGGAAGTTTATGATTTTTTAACGTACCTATAACGGAAGCAACAAAAAAGTTGAAATTAAATTTAAAAAGTGAGTTTTCTGAGCAATATATTATCAAATGTAATTCTATACCTTAAAAAACATTTTATTTTTACTTCATTTACAAAATCATTCCTATTCACATAATTTTTAGTTATACATTATCACTGTATACTTATTATCATTGTATGTCAGTTTACCTACTGTTGGTTACATGAAATAGAATAATTATATTATTTTTGAATAATTTTTTAATTTTTACAAATTTATTAAATTTAAACTAATTTAAATTGATTAAAAGTTAAAATCAGATATTCAAAATTAATCTTTGTTGTAAAAGTTACAGAATTTAATTTGATTTTATTAGACGTTGATAAGTCAGATTTCATAATGATCTGCTTTACTTTTTGAAAATAGTACTGTTTTCATATGCATATTAAAAATTAAACAAAAATGAATTATTATTATTATTAACTTAATTATTTTAATTATAAATATATTTACTTTTTTTTAGAGGTGAGTAGAGCGAGAATAAATTCTTTGCGAAACACAGAAAACTAAGACGCAGGTTAAATTAATGATAGGACGAGCAGCGTCCTTCTATAAGACAAAAAAAAGTGAGTCCCTCCGAAAACACATTATATAATCAAGATGGATTCAAATAAAAATAAAGCAAAATATATGTGGTTCGAAAGGTAAAGAAACAAGCTTCCAGTATAAAAATCCAGTTTCTATAAATTTAAACGTCAGGGCTGGGTAGCTTAAAAATGTTGAACAAGAGTATACTTTCAAAAATCTTTTGTGCTTTAATTTAGTGTTATTTAGGGCATTTAAAGAACTTTGAATATAATTTTCAAAAAGCTATACCTACCATTAATTTTCTAATTCAACACTGTAAAACTTGAATATTTTCAAAAATCTATTTAACAGTAATTTAGATAATTATATTTTGACAATTTTTAACAGTACTAAACTGGCTGTGCAATATATTTTCTAAAATAAATATATTGCATATATTTATGCAATATATTCTTGATAAAAATAAGTCCATATAACCCATGTTTAAAAAATCGAAAATCGTCACGAATACAAAGCTTCCTCGGGAGGAGAGGAAGCAAAAATGGTGATGATGACGTTTCAGCAAAACCAGATTGAAAAAGAAGAAGCAAAAAAGAAACAATTGGTGAGAAAAACGTCGCATTAAAATTTACTAGAAAAAGAAGAAGCAAAATTGCAACCAAAAGAAATGATTTCAAACTGAAACCAAAAACTAAAAGAAAAAAAAGTATTACTTTCTTTCGTATTGAAATTGTTAAATTTGGTATACTTGTATTTATTTTGCAACTTGATGATGATTGTTCGTAATAAAGCTTTAAGAACATTTATTCTAGGCCGTAGCAAGCCAATAAGCTTGTGAATCCGTTTAAATTTTAATCCTATTATTTGCTAGGTCAAATCATGATGGAAAAGTCGACTTTAGATCATTGAAAGACACGTTGTTGATACTGCGTACAGTGGTGGTGATATTTACTTAAATTTTTCACCTGTGATATAATAAATAAAGTTAACACATGCGTATAAAACGGTGTGATCGAAATTTCGAAATTTGGGTTCTGTGACGTTGGGTGAATTTGTCTTTGGAAAATTTTAATTGAAAAAGTGGCTGTACCTATAATTCAAAATTCAAAATAAATTCAATCGTTCTGCTGGTAGTGATACAAGCCATGAATTTTGAGGAATATCGTAAACATGGTAAGAGGCGCGAGTTTTTTTGTTTGAATATTAAAATAGAAAATATACTACTAGAGAATTTTTCCGAAAAGTGTATGGCTCTTGAGAGAAAAAATATCTAACGACAGATCAGTGTTTCCAGACTAATTCCGTGGTTAGGAAAAAACTGTTCAAGGTCTTGTTAATTTTTCTATAAATCGTGGTGAATGCATAACTACTAGTCATAATCCTATTTTAAATAGATGAATCCCTGTAATTGTTGTAATTTTTAAGGGAAGGAGATGGTGGATTACATTGCCGATTATCTTGAGAATATTCGATCGCGAAAAGTGTATCCAATGGTATCGCCTGGATATCTAAGGAATATGCTGCCAACATCTGCACCAATGGAAGGCGAAGCATGGGAAAATATTTTCAGCGATGTTGAAAAATGCATTATGCCTGGAGTTACACATTGGCAAAGTCCACATATGCATGCCTATTTTCCAGCTTTAAATTCACCAGCTAGCTTATTGGGAGATATGTTGGCTGATGCAATTAATTGTCTAGGATTCACATGGGTAAACGCATTGATTTAAGAATTTTTTAAAAATTCTCTACTGTTATATATATATTAGAGAACGAATTGTTCGTATGTTTTAGGCATCAAGTCCAGTGTGCACTGAATTAGAAACAATTGTGATGAATTGGTTGGGTAAGATGATCAATCTTCCAGAGGATTTTCTTCATCATCCGGAAAGTTCTGGAGGAGGTGTTATTCAAACAACGGCAAGTGAGGCAACATTGGTCTCCCTCCTGGCAGCACGAACAAGAATAATTAAAGAAATCCAACAAACTGAACCTCATCTTTCACCTGCGGAAATTAATTCAAAACTCGTGGCTTATTGTTCGGACCAGGTATGTATCAAAATAATGTTCATGAAGTTAGAACAGTAAAGTTAAAATTTTCAAAAATACAAATACTGTGCCCATTTGTGCAAAAATTTGTTTTTTTTTGAAAAACCCAAAATTCTGGACGAAAAAATCAAAAAAATTATTTAAATATAAAAAGTTAAAATTTCCAAAAAATAATTATTGTGCTGAATTGTGCTCGCCTTTTGCTCTTTTGTGTACAAATTCATTTTTTGAAAAACTCAAAATTCCGGGAAAAGAACATTCTAAGTGAAAAACTTAAAATTCTTTATCATCTATTATTTTGGAAAAAATAAAAAATGAACAAATTATTTCTTCCAAATTACTATAAATTTCTGCTGGATTTTAACAAGCAATTGCCAATTACATAAAAATTATGTGACACAATTTTTGAATTAAAACTAAAATTTTTATTAATTATTATTAAAACCAAAAATGTTTCAAGACCACTATATCTAGCACAAGTGTTTATCATTTAAATTAATTGGCGTTTTTTAGACGAAATAATATTTTTTCCAGACATTTTTGGTGAAAAACTTTTTATTTTATTTGTTTATGCCAGAATTGAGAAAAAAATACAATTTGGTACAAGATTTCTTTTTTTGAAACTTTTAATTTTAGACGATTTAAAAAAATGTTTCTTAATTTCTTTGCCCAGAATTTAACTGGTCTAATTTCCTGGAGATATAAAAATATGATTCATTTATTGATAATATGATTTTTAAATTGAACATTTTTTTTCTATTTATCAGGCTCACTCTAGCGTCGAAAAAGCTGGACTTATAGGATTAGTACGAATGAAATATATTGAAAGTGATGAAAAGCTTAGTATGAGAGGTCAGCTTCTTATGGAAACATTGAATAAAGATCGAGAAGAAGGGCTTGTACCTTTCTTTGTAAGTTTTTGATTTCCTGCATTCTTCTTTTCTTTCTCTTATAATGAATAAAGTAAAATAAATATTAATAAACCTATAAAATAATTATTGCAAAGGTATGTGCTACACTAGGTACAACGGGAGCATGTTCCTTTGATAATCTTGAAGAAATTGGTCCAGTTTGTAAGTAGACAAAAAAATGAGAATCTTTTATTATAATATTAAGTCCAGCAATGATTTTATATTTATTTCATAAATTCAATTGGTATTTATACTTTTACAGGTAAAAATAATGGCGTGTGGTTACACATTGATGCTGCATATGCTGGCAGTGCTTTTGTGTGTCCAGAGTTTCGAATTTGGCTAAAAGGAATAGAATATGCGGACTCCTTTGCATTTAATCCAAGTAAATGGTTGATGGTACATTTTGATTGCACAGCCATGTGGTAAATATAATAGATCTGAATTATATTAATATTATTATATTACAAAAGATTGCATTCTCTAATTCCGAGAGAGTAATATCTAAATAATTAGTAAAAAGTTTCACTAAAATTTGAATGGACTACTTTTTAGTAATTCAAATTTAAGGAACACGCAGTAAAAATAAATGAATAATTTTAATTTTAATAGTGCCTGACTTGTTTTAAAAATTTTTGGGTTTTTTAATTAATTACAGTTTTTAGGATCAATAATTTTTCTATGATAACTAATTTTTTAGGTTGTTTATTTTAGATTCATAAGTATTAATTTTAAAATCTGTAGACCCAATAATTTTAATTTAAGAGTAATGATGTTTTTCATATAGGGTAAAAAGTAGTCAAGCTCTTCACAGGACATTTAACGTTGATCCTCTTTATTTAAAACATGAAAATTCAGGTAATTTACGTGAAATGAATTTTATATGTAAAATACAACAATTTTATTTTTAAGAATATTGAATGATTGTCAATCAGAAACTTTTGCAGGTCTTGCCATTGATTATATGGTATGTAAAACTAATTACATATATGTATCTACAATAAATCGACTTGTTTCCTATAATTATTTACCTCTCTATTTTTCACTTTATTATTATTTTAGCATTGGCAAATACCTTTGTCAAAAAGATTTAGAGCTTTAAAGCTTTGGTTTGTCATTCGAAATTATGGAGTTAACGGATTGCAAAAGCATATACGCGAGGTGAGTTTTGCAGTAACTATAATAATTGCATTAACAATATATTATTAATTTTTTACTTTCAACAGGGAGTTAGATTAGCGCAAATGTTTGAAAATTTAGTGATGATTGATTCTCGATTTGAAATTCCTGCTGAAAGGCATTTAGGAATGGTCATTTTTCGACTTCGCGGTGAAAACATTTGGACAGAACGTTTGCTCAAGAAGATAAATTCAAAAGGTCATGTTCATTGCGTACCAGCTGCTCTTCATGGCAAATATGTTATAAGATTCACTGTAACATCTGCAAAGTAGGTTCATTTCTCATGAGATTATTTAGTTTTAGTCATTGGAAATAATTTAATTTCTATATTTACAGCACCACTAATGAAGATATTTATAAAGATTGGGAGGAAATTAAAAGCAACGCTGATGAAATATTGAATGAAGTTTCTAAAGCACCTCTAAATGGTGAGATTAAATTACAACTACAATATTGTCGAAAATTTGTAGAAATTTTTTTTTTAATATTCCAACGAAATTTCAGAGACACTTGAAAGGAATGAAGATTTTGGTTCTAGTTTATTATTAGCGAATTCACCAATGTTTCCAAAAATTGTTGATGGAAGTTTTGCTGCAATATGCAATGAATCAGATATTTTTAATGAGTGCTGTAAAAATATTGGACAAATAAAATTCGAAGATTATGAAAATGATGGTATGGATATTTAATTTTATATTTTTTCTGATAAGGGCAAAAATTTTTCACTTCTTCGCATTAAAAAGTAATTGAAATAAAAAAGTTTATTGAATTGATTGAGAAGAAAAAATATGTTAAACTATAACATATTCGATTTTTAGCACTGCGTCGTCGAATCCGTGGAATGTTAATGTCTGCAAAACGATTTTCACTCGATTCACGAATGGATCTTGTTCAAGTGAGATTACTTGCATATTTTAATCAGCATTTGCCAGTAGATAAGAAAATATCTTTCTTTTTAAAACATTTTCATAAAGTTTTGTGTCCTTTTTTGAATTTTAAAAATGTTTTGATAATGCAGAAATATTTTTAATCTTATTTATTTTACTTTTGCATTTTATTTTTATGCCCTTCATATGATAATAACTACAGTTTTAACTCTTATGAATATAGTATTTTGAAATTATATTATAAATTATTAAACAAGAAATAATTGTAAAAATACTTTTATTTAGGGGTATACATCCTTTTTTAAACCAAGTACAAATCTTGCTTTGATGAAAGAAGATGAAGACAGCAGTAGTGATAAAAATATTACATATTAATAAATTTAATATAATTCAAAATCGAAAAAATGTAAATTTAAGACGTTAGGTGAATTGTTAAATAATAAAAGAATAAAAAAGTATTAAAATCACACAAATAGAATGATACTTTTATAGTTGTAGAATTACTAATAAAAATAAATTATATTATCTAATTATGAAATTAATTTATAAATGTTTACAATATTATCAACAAAATAATAGATTTTATAATATATATAAATTTATTTCATTGAAGATCATGATGTCATGACAGTTTCATTTCTCAATTTCACATTTTGAGTATTTCAAATAACAAAGCAATTGCAATGTTCACATACCATAATCTCACATTCACACAACTTACCATTCATTTTTTTAAACTAATGATTCTTCGATTTTTAAACTTAGGTCGATCATTTATCTTATATATTAATTTTTAAATATTATTTTGTGAGAACTACAATATTATATATATATAGATAATGCAAATTTTTTATATTCATTGATCAAAATTTTTTACTAAAACGTAATTTATTGTTTTAAATTATTATGCATTTATAATATTGTTGCCTTTAAAAAATGTTGACATGTTGTATGTATAAAAATGAACTGATGGATCATGAGCATTTCTTAAACATAATATATAAATTTCTTCTCAATATTATTAACAATTTTTATATATATTATAAAAGAGCAATTAATGTTAAAACATTTGATATATATATATAATATATAACGCTAATAGATAAAAGTGTCATTTACAACAATTAGACATTTATACCAGTACAATATTTCATAAATTTTTATTTGATCCTACTTTGTCACATTTGATCGGTGTAAAAGTGAGTAAAAAAAAATACAGAGAAACTTAATTTACAAATAAATGATAAAAATGCTTTAATTTTTTTTACATATTTGAAAATCAGGAAATAATATTTTTCATGAAGTGCAGTCGGATGAGCTATAAAATTAATGAAATAAAATTCATGGATTTATTAAGGTAATATTTTTGAAATTGCAGCATCATAATTCGTACAAAAAGTTTCTCAGAGTATGATTTTCATTTATTTTGTTAAAATTGATTAGAAAATGAATTCAATTTTTAATGCTCGATTATTAAAAACGTGTAAATTTGTAGGCAGATTGAATAAAACATATGTTCATAAGAAAGAATTTTTTTTTTTTTATTTATAAGATTAATATTCTATTTATAACGCACTCTGAAGAAAGATACATAAAGCAAACAAATGTTAGATTACGTTTGTAAAAATTTTACCTTGATTAAAAGTAACTTTTTAATGATGCAAAATGAAAATCAGTTTTTATTGAATATTTTGGATGTAAATAATGGTTTGTATTAAGAGTTGTTTTCGCTTCAAAAATTACAAACGTAACCTACAATTTTTTGCTTTTGAAGTATACCTTTCTTCAGTGCGCGTCACATTTGTTGATTAAAAGTATGTCATTTTCTTTTTACTATCTTCATTATTTATTGAGTAAAGAGTAAAGAGAACAAACAATATTTTGTTATTACTATTATTGAGAAATAAAATTTAAAATTTGTCTTTTTCAAAAGGGTTATGTTACTTTTACTGCTATTGTGTTTTTTTTCTTCCGTATGAACAAAGTAAAATAAAAAAAAGAAATGCTGGATATGTTTGACACATATGAATATGATACATTCAGAATCCAAAAGTTAAAAGACAACCATCTTACAGATTTGGTAAGTATATAATAATCGTTCATGGATATAAAAAGCGTCTTGCTTGAACACCGAGGGAGATGTCTGGTAACTGCATTTTATTTCCTCACATGGCACATGAACTTTCTCGGCTGTGAGGCCACAAGCAAAATATAATTCATAGATATATTGATTATTGATCCTGTAATTCCTTCCTAAAGCTAATATCTACATAAATAAATATAGTTATACACAGCAACTGAGTTCGCTTAATTTAATTTAAAGCTATATATTTATGATATAATATATTGCTGTCTAAATCTAAAATATGTACGCTCGATCGGATTTCCAGTATCACAGTTTCCGATCAGCTCATCAAGTTAAAACTACTTAAGCGTATAACGCATAAAAAAAATGACTTAAGGCACTTACATCACTTGAAAGAATTATCTATATAACAGTAGTATTTTATAATCGATATGTTTCAACGTACTGTGTCTCTGTACCATTTAAAATCGAAGACTCGTATTTTTACAAATCAAATATATTGATTATAGCGCTTTTTAGTGAGACGAGAATTTCTTTATTTTCAAAATGAAAGCTCAAAAAATTAATCTTTAAAACATTTCTGTTGGCCTCACAACCGCGTGTGCTATAATGAACAAATGACACAACACGACCGCATGGCCTGCCAGAAAAATCTCGCGAGTTATAGTGTGCAAATCGCGAAATTTGCATGGCAAAAGGCTTTTTTCGAAAAAGCCTTTCTGTGAGGACGTGAGCGTTCATTTTAGTCAGATTTACTCAGAAACTAACATGAAGGCTCACGTTGTGCATTTTTTAAATTGTTTTAACAGGGTGGAGGGTGGAAGTAAGATACTCATCTCTACAGTTTGTCTTAAATCTGTCCTTTTAGAAGCCCACAAAATATTAGAAATTACTAATCACCTTGTTAATATAATACATTAATTATTATTATTAGTAAAATTAATCATTACTATAAAGCTTTCTTAGGATATGATCAAGTGACAATCTATAAGACAAGTAACATAATTCAGAAGTTTTCTACAACAATAAATCATGAATATCATTTTAGTCTGTGCAGTTATATATATATTTAATTAATTTATTTATTTATTCTTCTGTTTTCAAAAGCCTGCAAACAGTCATGTATTTAATTGTCGCAGTCTTATGTTTCTCGATTTCTTACTTTAATGCAGACTCTTCAGATTAAAATGATACTGAGGAATTTTTCATGTGAGTATACTAGTAATAAATTATCATATTCATGCAGTCATGCAATGCTGTTGATATAGACGCTTATGTAACTACGTTATTTTTTTTTTTAACTAGACGTTTTAACTGCTAAAAACATTTATCTTTCAGAATGTTAAAATGGAATTTTACATGAATTTTCCAATTTTTTTTTAAATTTAAACTATTTGCTCTTTCGTATATATAATAAAATTTTATTTCAAAATAGGAAATTAAAAAAATATTAATTTTATTTAACAATAAAATGAAGGCTGGTCTTTTAATTGACGTAAAAAATTTAAAATTTTAAAGAAACGTTTGGTTGAGAATATAATTTAGTTTCTTTTTTAGTCAATATAATAATATTAATTAATATTTAAATAAAAATAATTAAATGGTGATGGTATTATAATTTGTATTCTTAACCAACCTTTTCTCTCAACTTGATACATTTTAGTTAAACAAGAAAAAATATCTACATTATATATATTTTTTAACTATAATTATAAAATTTACTTTTTTCAGTAAATTTTTACTTCCAGTGTTGTTTTATCAACTTTTTTTTTAATCCGTCCATTAATAAATTTTTATTGAGAAATAACTAAGTAATTTTGCTTTTTAAACAGTTAATATCATTAAGTTTAAAATCAGACTTATATTTGAAATAAATCAGCACATAGAAGCGCATACAAAATATACCTTTAGTTATTAAAAAATTGTTCTAATGAAAAGTATTTTTACATTTACATGTTAATGGTGTTCCGTAGTAGCACTTTGTAAAAATGTCCGCTTAATGTACTTAATTTTAAAAAGAATTTTTTTTGCTAATCGGACAGTTATCGCGAAAACTGAAAAAATTATCCTGCATAACTGTCCGATTTGCGAAAAAATTATTTTTAAAATTAAGTATATATATATACAAATTGGCAGTTATTTTTAAAAGGTACCACTATAGAATACCATTAACTTTACATTAAAATTCAATTTATTTACATGGGCATTATTGAACAGTAAAAACATATTTAAGGTGGATGTCTCATTTTTTGCAGAGTGATATTAAAAAATTTCTTTTTAATTTTTTTTTAAAATCTATGATGTATTTTTGAAAACAGCTTTTTGTTGTTCACTACATTGAACAAAAATATTTAATATATAAATAACAGCTCGATAAAAAATTTTAAAAAACTTTTGATTTTTATTTCTATTTCCGATCATTTGTTGCCGAGTGCAAAATTTTTCTCTGAAAAACGACTTTTAAAAAAATTATAAAAAGCATTTCATTTTTTTCCAATATTAGGTAGCTTAAAAAATCAGACATAACCTTAATTTAAAGTAAGAGTATAAAGTATACAATATAACCTACTTTATACTTTTCAATTGGACAATTTTTGTTGTCTTCATTTTTCATCGTTTTTAAAATTTATATTAATAAAGAAACAATTATTATTTTGCTAAAAGAATGCATTTGGTGTTATAGCCATGCGAAAGGAATTTAAAACATCGCACTGTAAAAAGAAACATATATATATATACTAGTTATAAAGATACTTCTGTCAGACATTTTTTAGATATTTCAAAAAGTTACAAGTTTCTTAAAATGTAATACTTTCTTAAGTATGTAAAATTATTCTTAAGATGTAAAATGGATACTAAGCTGTTTTTGGCAATAATTACTTTAAAAATGTTTCTTTTTAGCAGTGATAACATAAACTTATAAAAAGAGACATTAAAAAAAATACGTGCACAAAAAAAATAAAAACTTTACTAAAGTGTCAATAGATAAATAAAACAACTAAGAAAAAGTAACATACAACAGTCATAGGTGTATAGAGTGATTAAATGAGTATAAAATCTCTTAACCTATTATAACATTCGTCAGTGTGTACATATGTGGACTTTTCCACACTCGCATACCTATTATTTTTTTATTTCTATCTAAAATAATTTTTCTAACTATTTCTACAATTTCGTGAGCGTGTCACCAACATTTATGCGCATATAGTTTGGTTAACTGACAATTATTAGCTTCTTATACTTGTCAAGTATTTTTATACTTATTGTCTTTAATATCTCTGTACACAGCGCAGACATTAGAAAACTGCTCTATATGTGTACATATATTATGTATTATAATATATTAAATAATCGAACTTATTAATAATAATAATAATAATATCTTATTCTCGAAAGTATAATATCATTTTGGCTTGTTTGTCAAAGTCAATTTAGGAAAACACATTACTTTTGTTGAAGACACGCATCACAGCTATATAATATATATATTTATATATGCAGCTAATTGGTGGACATGCCAAAACACGCCGCGTGAATATCGTAGGTACATATATAACTAATTATGTTTCCTGATAGTCAATAAACTAAAAACAACAAGGTCTCTACAAGAAAGAGAGAATAATTTAAATATTTATATAAGTGATTAAAATAAATTAACTTTTTATGTATAAAAAAAATGCTTTTGAGAAAAATGAACTTTTTTCATAGTCTTTTTCACTCAAAATATTTATAGCCATTAAACTAAAGTAGCAATTTTCTATACAAATATAGTCTCATTGTTTAAATTTTGATTTGTTTTTCTAAAGAAAAATTGAAATTATTCTGCTTATTTAAATTTGAATACAAGTTAGAAGAGATTAATTATTAATTGCATAATCAACTTATAAAAAGAGCGAGTTCGAGATGATATCGCTTATTAGAATAATAAGAATTTATTTTTATATTAGCATTAATTATTTAGAGAAAATATTTTTTTCTAGAAAATGAAAAATGAAGACAGGATATACAAAAAGATATAAAAATTGAAATATTGACAAATAAAAAACAAAAATGGAATATTGCATATTACTGATTTGATGTACATGAAATGTATCCTGATTTGTATAGTTTATTAAAGTGAAAATTTAAAATTAAGTCAAAATATAAATAAAAATACACTTTATAATATACGATTCAAATTAGGCAACATTTGATGTAGTTTTTTTAAAAAGTTTGTTTTCTAGTAAGACTATTGAAACTAAATGTTATTTAAATAATTAGTATTAGTTATCACATGCGACATTCATCTCGCTTACACGCCTCTTGTATATATATATATATTTCTATATAAGGGGATTCTACAAAAAAGAGAATTAATAGTAAAAATTTTCTAATCACAGCGACCTACAAAGCAAGCTGGGCAATTTTAGAGCGGAAGTTATTGTCAAAAAGGATGACAGGATTATCGGGAAAACAGAATTTAAGGACAAGGACGGAGGCACACGATTGCACATATCTTCCTCACAGAAGCACATGTGACCAGTGCCGGTACTTTCCATCATGCACACATGGTCCACCATAAATAAATTTATTTGCAGCTGTGACGTGCAAGTTCGACGAACACTTTCATATGCTGTAAACAAATTGTAATAATAGTACATTGTCCATCAAAAGCGGAAAGAGGCTGTTTTCCTACGAGTCTGTAAATTAATCAAACTTGTTGGAAAATGCTACTTTCCGCTTTCCGCTTTGTGTAATGCCGGTTTAGAAAAAACGCCATTTTATGTATTGTTTTACTAAATAAATGTTAGGTTATGTTACCTAATTGCAAAGCTTATATTGTATACAAAGTATGTAGCAAAGTTATTAAAAGTGTGGAGAAAATTAGTAAAGTTTCAGTATGCAGAAATCGACAACTTTTTGCTACATTTGCATTAAAGTAAAGTAAGTGGCGTTTTTCCTGCAGATGTTACACAAATCATATTTATTAAAATTAAAATGAAAATTCAAACCATTGATTTTTATGGAATTTTAATGCACCCCTTTTTAAATAACTGATGAGATAAGTTTATTATTTACCAATTAATTTATATTTTTCTCCAATAATATGAGCCCGTTTTCACCGTGTTGTTAAATTTAATTTTCCGAAAACTTAAAGGCAGTAGATATATTCTGCGTCTGCGCAGAATGTTTGTATACAGATTCTGCGCAGACGCAGAATATATCTACTGCTTTTAATCTTTTCGAAAGATTAAATTTAATCACACGGTGAAAATGGGCTTTATGTTTATTAATTTTTTTATTTTAAGTATAGAATAATTGAAAAAAATATCTACTTTTTTGTATAAACGCTATATATAATAAAGTAACTCACGTGATTTTGCGTTACGAACCATCTTAACGCAACATCCATTACAAGTCATTAATGGTGGTTGATCTCTAGGAAGCGCCGTATAATTAAATGGATCCTTGCACCGAAGATCAGTCCATGAATCACATTCGTAGCAGTATATTGAACGAGCTGATTTTAACAAACAAAAATTAAGTATATGTTAGTATTCTTACATACGCTATTATCAAATTTTATTAGTTTTCCTGTAGCCTATTCTTGTCATAACAAAGGAAAATACATTAACCCTGACTACAGTTTTTTAAAGTATGATAAATTTTTATATTTACTAAAATAATAATGTTGAGTGTAAAAAATTCGATTGTATGTACTTTCAAAAAACTTACACACGAAAAAAAAAGTAGAACTTTTACCACAAAATTGGTAGCAAAATTAACTGCAACAAATTTTAGCGTAGCTGAAGGCGCCACCGGCGGCACGGACGGTAAAGAAAGACCTATGTTTTCCCACCAAAGTCAACCGCGAGCTTCTGCTTTTTACTACTGGAGAATCGAATCAAGAAAAATTCTTCCCTATCGGTACGTGACTGACAAATCATAAGGAAGACGTTTGTTCGCAAAGATATAAATATCAGTCGTTCAGCAACGGAACTTTAAATAATTTCTTAAGTTTGTTATTGTATGTAAATTTTATTTCAATGAACCCTGATCCGGCAAAATATACATATTAAATATTTCATTGCCACATTTCGCAGTAGTATATAGAGATACATAGTGAGACATGAGCAGAACAAGTCCGACTGTCATTACTACTTATAAATCTTCGAGGACTCAATCAAAGGGCTGGTATTCTACTAGCGAGTGTGTAAAGGTAAGTAACATTTTTGGAACAAAAATTGCGATATCCATAAAACTGTTAAAAGGGCAATGGATTTTTTTAAAACTTGAACTCATAAAGAATGTTCTTAAAGTAAAAATCTCAACAATTAGTAAATTTTTTAGTGATAAATATGTAAAACTTTTGTAAAAACTTTAATACAAAAAAACCCAGATCAAATAACCTGATTTATATGACGTATACGTCATTCAAAATATTTTACTTGAACCAGTCTCTCCAGATATTGGGTCAAGTTATTTGATCCGAAATCTTCATTTAAAATATTTTTTTAATTCTATCGGAGTTAATCACTCACTCTGACATTCTCCACGACAGACGTTGGCAACTGCGAGAACTATTGCCACTGAAAGTACAATAATACTGGTATAAATAAATGTCAATTATAATTAAAAAACAGGTGTTTCAATTTAAAACACTTTTCCTTAATATAAGACACCTTGTTTTTGTCAACAAACTCAAAATCGTATAAAATAAAAAAAATATAGTATACTTTTACTACTACGTGTATACTACTTCTATGATTATCTAGAAACTCACCATAACGTCACAAAAGTCTTATATGTTACTTAAACTAAAATAAATATTATGTATATTATAAAATAATCAATTTTATTGTAATGAAATACTGGAGACAACAAATTATTATTTCTGTACTGAACGAAATGATTGATTAAGAATACTATTTATACTTTATTGTTAATGTAAAAACATGTTGCTATTGCATATGATATCCTTAATTAATCGCTTTTCTATCTGGTTTTTATAAATGTTATGTAAAATACTTCAAAAACGACATTGAATTTTAATTACCATATTTTAATTGAAATTCGTATTTCATTGGTTAAATACTTTAAATTTAAAAAAAAAGTAGAATGTAAAATGTGAAAGTTTAAAAAATTAAAATATGAAATTTTTTACCTGATATTATATAATCTCCAGCCATTTTGAATACAGCGTATCTTAGTTTAATTCTATTTTTCACACATCAATGTAGACTAGGCTTTTTTACTTTTTGCATTTCAATTTAACATATTTTCATACCTTTGAATAAAAATTGTTCTTTATTTTATTATAGAGTTAATAATAAAGTGTCTAAATTACGACATATGTGCAACACTCCACGAGAAAAAGGACCTTACGATAAATTTTTTTTAGGTTTTTATTGAATTTTACGAATATAATGAAGCCCAGCCGAAAATCCTGTTGAAGTTGAGTAAAAAGCCTAATTAAAGCGTTAGAATAGCTGGTAAGAAGCTGTTAAATAGTTTCCATTATTTTTTTATGTCATTCGAGTAATTTGAGGTTTTGTTTTCCGTGCGCTCATTGGTTAAAAGTTTGTCATTTTAAATGATGTACTCTTTTTTTAAACCAATAAAAATGCTTTTGTTTAATTTACACTTTCCGTAGGCTTTCCGGACGCTCTAAAGAAGTTTTGGATTTTCGACTGAGAGACAAATGTTTTTTTATTAAGAATCGATTCTTTTTGTGTATTTTCACTTCAAAAATCGCAAACATAACCTAAAATTTGTTTACCCTAAGGTTGTTTTTCTTGTGAAGCGTGACATATAAGTTTATTTTCTTTATAATTAATTTTCTTTTATTGCACAACTTCGTACCTATATATATTATTTTTTTTAAATATTAAAGCTTAAACAAGATTTCATAAAAAAATGAATATTCAAAAAATGTCTTAATGCATTAATCTTATGATTAATGCAATTCAAAGGTGTTGCAGTTCAGTTAATAAATTTACAATTCATAAAAAGTTTCGAACAAATAATTCATTATAAGAAAATTTGTGTGGACGTTTATATAAAAAGGGATCACTTTGGTTTTTACTATAAAAATCATAACGTTTACACAAAAATAAACCTTGCAATCCCATTATTGCGGACATCCCCATATATTTTTTTAAAATAACTTAAATTTACTTCAAAATGTTATATAAAGTGCCTTATAACCAGATTTCAAATTCCACTTAAACAGATTTACAAAGTAGTTTCTTTATGTTAATTTTGAAAAACTTAATTTTAATTCTATTATTACATTTACAACAGTAAATGAAATTTGCAAATCAAATTAAAAAGATTTTCACTGCTAAGCTCTAACTCATATTTTTCCATTTATATATGCTTCCTTGAGTAACAAATGGCATAATATTTATTGACTGTCATTCATAAGAGTTGAAAAATGTTATCAAAGTGTTTATTACGCAAAATATAAGTTACAAAGAAAGAAACAGAAATAAGGTTTCTCATTTACTTACATAACGTCAATAAGAGTCAAGACTTCTGTCGTGACCCATGTGTGCTATTCGTATTTGAATTATAAAAATCATTTAAATATACTTTTGATGCAATAATTAGACGTTGCGATGTAATGGCATAATTTATCAATACAGTTACCTCTGTAACCGGACTTTTATTAAAGTTTAGTGTATATTCACATACATTATCTTATGTTTTCACCTGAAAATTTAAAAAAAGAATAAGAATAATAATTCTCTATGCACATGAATCAGTCCATTGAATTTCGTCTGCGAGTTGATGTGGTCAAATTTTTATTAAAAAATCTAGTTTTGAAATATGTTAAAGTTGAACATTTTCTTAGTTCATTAATTATAATATTATGGCTTCAATTTTCTATTTTTGTATGAAATTAATAATTAAAAGTAGGAGAAGACCTTAAATTCGGAACCTTAAATCTTATTCTTTTTTTTATGAAATTTATAATTATAAAAGTAGAAGATTCGGGACCTTATTTTTTAACCTTCAATTTTGTACTTTTTAAAAAACGTTATTATTCAAAGAGTACTTATTATTCGATACTGAGACTTACAAAAAGTATAAATTTCTTGATTTTGTACTGAAAAATACGAAGCAAAACATCTACGTCCGAAAAATTTCAAATGCAAATATTATTTTAAAGAAGAATATTTCTGCAATCATTTTATCATTTTTTAATACAAAATCAAGAAATTTATACTTATGGTAAGTTTTAATATAAAATATTAAATACTTTTTGAATAATAATGTTTTTTTAAAGTATACAAAATATGGTCCGGATCCTCTTAATTTTGATTTTTAATTTCATACAAAAAAAGAAAATTTAAGCCATGATATTATGATTAATAAACTAACATTAAGAAAATATTCAAATTTAACATATTTCAAAAATAAATTTTTTTTAAAATTAGACCGCATCACGTCTCAGAAGAAAGTCAATGGACTCATATATATTGCTGTTTTGTCTACAAAATCTATACGTAATTGTAATTGAAATTATTGTTGATTTATTTATTTCTCATTTCTACTTTTTCAAAACTTTAGGATTAGGATCTTATTCTTTATTTTTGTTCTTCAGAACGATGAAATACTCTATTTTTTATTAATATATAGATCTTATATAATAAAATTATTTCACACTAATTTAAAAGTATCAAATTGATACCAAAAATATCAAATTGATACAAATTTTTATATCAATATGATATTTTTGGTATCAATTTCATACTTTTAAATTAGTGTGTTTGTAATTCTAATATAATTGAAATGTATTTGCCCTTTAATGGTCTTTTGACTCTGGGCTCGATATTCTGTTACAAATAAATAAATAAAAAAAAAAACTTAAAGTAACTATTTCTTTGATAAAAATATAAAGAAGGAATAGAATAGAAGTTGAAATCAAAAGTTAGTCCATCTCCATATTTTTTTAGTTTTAGTCCAGCATTAAGTTATATTAATTAAAAAATGTTTTAGTGAAAGTGTAAACAATTTAATTTTTGACACTTTAAACGATTAAAAATTGTCATTGAATGAATATCAAAAATTTCTTAGATTAAAAAAGTATAATATAATTTTAAGGTTATGTTGTTTCTTAATCTCAGAAATTTTCAATCTTTTTTTAATTTTAACTTTTAATGGTTGAAAAGTGTCAAAAATAAAATTCTTCACACTTTCTCTAAAACAGTTTTTTAAATTATGAATCGATTTTTTGATTAAAAATTAAAAAAACACAAGTTTAAATAACTTTTGATTTGAATGTCTATCCCATTACTGTATATATAATCATTTCAAAGAAATAAATTGACAACAAAGAATTGTCAAACTGTTCATGGTTGATTATATTTTTCGATATGCATTCACTGTTATATGCAGCAGCAATTGTCATATTAAAAAGTAGATTTTAAATTGTTTTTTCTTCAGAGTCCTTGAGTTATTAATTTCTAAAAAAGTAGAAATAGAATACAATTGAGCAATTAATATGCAACAATTTTCTTTGCAATTAGGTAAGTTTTATACTCTAAATTGCAAAAATTGAAAGCTCTCAGCAACATTTTTAATCGTAATCTTTGCCTTGTTTTCTTTTAATAATATACATACAACATATGTAGAGTTTGATAATGAAATTTTATTATTAGTTATCGCACGTTATTATACTCACGCTAAAAATTATAGATAAATCATTCCGTAGTAAGATTTTTTAAATTGTATTTAAAAAAAATTTAATGTATATTAAAAAACAAAAACAGTAATAATCATACAAAAGCAAATAATAAAATTTCATTAAATTTGTTTTGTACATATGGAGATACAGAATTCTGAAGAAAAAAAATAAATTGACTGCAAATACATGTATGTAACATAAGGTTTAAGATTTAAAAATAAAACCCTAATTTTTTAATTTGATAAGAAAATAATATTTTTGCTAATTATTAATTATAGGTAAAAATGCATATAAATTTCTGATCGATGAGGATTAAAAGGTATAACCTCTGTTATCTCAAAATGTATATTATTAAGTATAAAGATTAACATTTTTCTAGTTGTATGTAATAGGGACATAAATTAGTTTTGAATTACATGACCTACACAACAATCTTTATATTATTCTTATGTTTCTTGAATCATAATTACACATTACTAGAAAAGCTATTCGCTATAGCTTACCTGTTAAATGTCCTTTCGTCAATAACAATTTACATGTCACAGATAATTCAATCCTCTGTTAAGTTCAAAATAAAAAAATTTTAATAATTAAGAAAACAATTGAAAGTATATATAATTTATAATTTCACTATTCAAAAATTGTAGGCAATACCAATGATGTTGAATATTTTAGAAGATTTTTCATATGCAATTAAAAGAAAAATGTTATTTAATAAGTGATATGTTTTATGCGTTGAAGACTATTATGAGAAGAATCTGTCTCAACTGTCATATTTTTCTAGTCGCATTCACACACTGCACTTTTGTGATACTTTAGCAACGTGAAAAATTTGGCACGCGAGCATTCTGAATCAATAAAACTCGACTGCAGTGTCCCTTTAATGCGCAAGCGCATTTCAAATATTAAAATAAGGTATAACAATTTTTTTAAAAAATTAATATTTTCATGTAATTTTATTTAAAACTTTTTTTTTTATAAATAAAAATTATCATTTTTAATTTTATGAAAATTTTTACTAATTACTTTATAGTTATGAATAAATTGGTTATTAATTAGAAAATACCGCTAATATTTATATTAATAAAAAATGAATACTGGAGTAGTTTGTTAAATACAAATACAATAATTTTTAATTTACTTACATTTCAAAGAAATAATAACAATTTAGTGATACTAAAGAGACATAATATTTACATAAAGCGTAAAAAGAAAAATAGAAATATTATCGCACGTTATAATAGTTTTTTGTCATTAGTGAGTAATGAGACACGTTTAGCGTTGCATAATCATGTTTGTATTTAATCCTATTTATTAGAGTAACTATATTACCCCAATACAAGTTTTATGTAATTTTAAAAATATTTTACATTCTAAGAACTTGGGTTTTCTTTTTACTCATTTTAATTATAACAGAAAAAAAAATTATTTGATTCAAATAATCAGTTACTTGACTATTATCAAATAAATGTTTACTTGAACCAAATAAATTTTATATGAATTAAATAAATTGTATTTGAAGCAATAATTTTTGTATTAACAAATAAAATTTAATGGATTCAAATAAAATTTATTTGCGATTCAAGGAAATATTTATTTGATAAAGTCAAGTAATCGATTATTTGAATCAAATAAATTTTTTTTAGTGTACTTGAAATACTTAATATAAAATTTGTCTCATCATTAAATCAATTTTTATTTGAATTTGATTGTATTTGTATTTTTGTATTTTAAAATTGTATAAATTGTATTTAACTAAAATAAAATTTCATTTATGATAGACGATAATTTTATTTGAACCAATACTAAATGATTATTTACTTCTCAGACTTTTTTATTAATTAAAATACACCTAGATAAAAGATTCAAAGAAATCAATTTATTTGATAAATTTTTCTTTGATACAAAGAAAATTTATTTATTTCAAACAAATAATCTTTGATTTAAAAAAATTCTCTACGTTTCAAAGAAATTTTTTATTTAATTTAAATAAATGTTTTTTTGACACTATATCTACGTTAGAATTTCTTTGTTTTAATGCACAAAATTCTTTGAAACTAAGAATGAAAGGAAACAAGTCAAAGAAATTGGTTTCTGTAAATCAAAGAAATCATTTCTCTGGGTGTGCATTATATTTGGTTCGAGTAAAAGATTTTTCACAGACGTTTTAAAATTATAAATCAAAAAAATGATTCAAAAATATTTTTTTCAGAATTTCCAATTTTTACATTTTTCTAATATTAATAATAATGTTTTTTTTTTATTTTTACATTTTTTGAAAAGTGTGTATACTATTCCATGATAAAACTCACAAAACAGTTTTATTGCAGTTTGTACTTTAAACTGATTCATTGATAATTGTTTTAATGATTGAATTGATAATATTGAAGTTAATGAAAGGCAGTTGAAAAAAGAGACTTCTTTTTATATGAGAAATGATAATAATAATTATCATCCTTGGCGGTTGATTTGAATTTATGTTGTAATAATGCATTCCCAGCCCTGATGTTGGGTCACGCCTCCTCCTGCGCACAATTCAATATCCAACTTTCTTCATTCTTCAGTCTTCAGTATTCTTCGGTGCTTTCGGTTAAGAAGGTATAGAAACAGAAGTTTGTGATTATAGTTTATATTTTGTTGAGGTAAATAGTTACTGTGTGTGAATCAATATTTAGATATTGACATTAGTTTTTGTGTATAAAATATTAAAACGAAAACATTTTTCAATTGAATTTAGAAATTCTATTTTTAAAAAAATAACAAAAAGATTTTTTTTTGAATTTTAATAATTAAAATTTATTTTCAACTTTTTGAAAAATAATGTTTATTCATCTTTTGACAATAAGTTTTCGTTATCTTTTGAGAGGCTGTAAATTATATTAAATCAAAGAATGTTTTTCCATTATTATCAAGTAATTTGCTTAATCGTTTTCCAATGCTTCAATGTCATCCGTCATTTTTAAAAAAAATGTATAAATAATACTCTTGTTTTTCTTTTCAGGTATTAAAAAAAAATATTAAATGCTTATAAATTAGAATTTTTTTACAATACTATTAATAAAATATAAATTAAAAAAAAATGTCTTTAAAAAAAATGACGTGCTTAATTCGTTCCATAACGAAAAATGGAACAAACTTTTTCAACTCCAATGTCAGATGTGTTTCAAGTGTTTCAAAAATGAAAGTTGTTCAAGGTTTGAATGGAGAACAAATTATTCATTCACCTTATGAGAATGCGCCTCTTCCAGATTTAACTTTACCGGAATATGTTTGGAGAAACGTAAATAATTACAGCAACAAAGTAGCATTGGTATGTTGATATACGTGAAAATCGGTATTTAGTTATTTTTATATCTAATACGAATTAGATAATAAATTGCATTTTTTTTATTCACACAGGAATGTGGAATAACCGGAAGAAAATATACCTATGGCGAGGCACGCGACAAATGCAATTATTTGGCAAGAAGTTTATCTAAATTGGGAATAAAGAATGGAGATATAGTGGCTCTTATTTTGCCAAATTTACCAGAGACACCTATCGCTTTTCTCGCTTGTTTGGAAGCAGGTGCAATTGTGACAACAGCAAATCCTTACTATACAGTTGGTAAGAGGAGGGATTATATTTTTTTATCACGTTTTATAATGAACAATTTTCTATGATATAAAAATGTACTTTTTTTATAAGTACTAAGTTTAACTTTGCATTTAAAGTTTCTGCAACTCATCCGTTGATAAATATAAGTGATAACGAATCACTCAATTGCGTCAAATAGGATAAAGTCCAAAGATTGAAATAAAACTTAAAAAGAGTAAATATCTTGATCAGCAAAGTGCTCTAAATATTTATTTCTTTTATTTTTATCAACGTACAAGTCTATTGTTAGTCATTTGTTTCACTCTGCGAACTTGTCGCAAATAATAAAATTTCCATCTCATATATTAGCAATTAAGCTGTTCAATGTAAGCAAGCATGCAGAAAAATTTATGCAAATTTTCATTAACAGTTGACAATTCTAATTTGATTTAAAATTATGTAATTTATGAAGTTTATTATTATTGAAAACTAATAATAATTCAATTAAAATGTACTGTTGAATTTTGTATACACTCAGAAAAAAGTTATATGAATTTGAATCAAATACGATTTTTTGTTATTAACCCATTTTTTACACATTTCAAACAAAATTTTAATTTAAATAAATATTTGGATTATTTTAATAAATTTTTCGAATGAAAAAAAATTGATTGAGCCAAAATTTATTCGGTTAATTAAATCAAAATTTTGTTGCTTCTATAAATAAAGTTTTTTTCTGAGTGTAGATATGAAAAATTACTGAACATGAGTACTAAAAATTTATCACATTTTCGGCAAGTTTGTATAGAAAACTTTTCCCTCAAATTATATGAGAACGCATGAAATTAATTTGTTAGATTTTTTATTTGATAAAATTTCATCAGGTAGAATTTTTATTTGTTCGAATTATATTTTGACAAAATTTCCATTAAATCGATTTTCCATATTATAGAATTTTTAAATAACCGAACATTCACTTCACAGAATTTCTATTTGATCAAATTTTTATTTGAAAGAACTTTCATTTGTTCGAAAAGACATTAGGCAAAACCAATTTGGCGCGAATTTTAAAATTAACGAATCAAAATTTTTTGGGTAATTTCTGATTGGTTAATTTTAAAATTCGCGCCCAAATGTTTCTGACGGAAGTTAATTCGAATAAATACAAATTCTTTGAAATAAATTTTTGATTATACAAAAATTCTGATAGAAAATCGGTGAAAATTCTGTCAAAAAAATAATTCGAACAACTATAAATTTGGATAAAGAAAATTTTATGTAATAAAATTGAATGAAATAAAAATAGTAATAAATTAATTATAGGCATTATTCATGTGTCTCAATTGAGTGTCCCGTTCAAATATCTCGACCGACTCTCGGACGCACGGTCTAATGGTAGTCGGGTAGCAGTGAGCCGCCCACAGGCTGTCACTGCTACTTGACTGATAATAGAGCGTTCGTTCGAGCGTCGGTCGAGATATTTGATCGGGACACTCAATTATATTCTGCTTTATCTGAAAGTATAAATGTTGAATTATTGTTTAATCACATAGATGAACTATTCAAACAGCTTTCTGTTGTTTCAAAGAAGCTTTCTGCTGTGATTACTTCAACTGAAATTGCGTCTACTGTAGCCTCTGCTCTTAACTCCATTTCACCTAATTGTCCATTTATTCTTGTTGACGATGGAACACAATCAAGTTTTATGAAATCAGACGCACTATATTTTAATGTAGGTTTGTAGATCTGTCCTACAATAAATACTTGGATGATTCTACCCGTAGAGCATAGTTACTGTTCAAAATTTTTTTTTTTAATTCAATTACAAATATAAACTTAAAAATGAAATATGTGTATAACAAAGTTAATTATTGAATTTATAGGCTAAAACTATTTATGCCAACCTTTTCTATATAAGAAAATTAGAAACATTTTCTGTTAATCATTTTTTTTGGAAAGTTATACTTTATTTATATGAAACCATTATGAAGGAAAAATTTCTAAATCGTTGCGTTGTATTCAGATTAATAAACACATTTTAAAAATACGTCAATCATTACATATTATATGCAATTAATTTTTTAAAAAACATGAAATTTGCGCTATGCGGAGAATCATCCACATATCAATGCTACAAATATTTCATACAAATTAAAAAAAATATATTGTTCTAGGATTTAATTGAAAAAGGAAAATCACTCCCACAATTACCAGCTTCCAGGAGGTCACCTAAAGATGTATCAATTATACCTTTTTCGAGTGGAACAACTGGGCTTCCAAAAGGAGTAATGCTGTCGGACGAAAATTTGGTTGCTAATTTAGAAATGTTGACAATATCTGTGGGAGATGAATTTTTTACCAAATCAGGTTAGTTTCACTAACAATAAGTGTTAAAAATTAATTATCATTACAGCCATATTACTATTATATACACTTCGTATACTCTACTTTCATATTCTGAATCCCTACAATTTATAGTTTTTTTTACAAGTTTGTAGTGTTTCCATTAAGATCTTGGGAGATTATTCCAAATCTTTATTTTGAAATTAAGGGGCTTACAAATAGGAGTATGAAAGTAGAGTACACGAAGTGTATATTAATAATATTCAATATAACTGTAGATCCTACTTTACACCTCTTCATGAAAAACAGAAAATTTTGCGCAAGTTTTTAAAGTCAAAGTAGGGTCTAAATGTATTAAAATTATAACCTACATTACACTGGAAGAAATATTCTCGTAATAATATCTATAAATTTATAATTGGGAATTATGTTTGAGCTGTCCCTAAAGGTTATATGTTGTTTTATTGGTACAACCAAGCGCATGACTATTTTAACATCCGTACGGCTAAAAAAACCCAATGGTATGGCTATAACAAAACCACCAATACAATATGTTTGAATTAACCAGAATTATGTCTGTATTAAAAATATATTTCTTTCACTGTAATGACTGATAAAATTTAATAGACCCTAAAAATTCAGGTTTTATAGTAGGGCTTAAATTTCGACTCCGGTTACTAACTAGATCAGAGGTCTGGATGGTCTGGATTTAGTTAAGATATTTTCTTGATATAACCAGTTTATTAGTTATAAAAAAAATTCGGTCAACTAAAGTATAATTTTAAGAAACGGTATAACTTTTTCGTGCAATCATAATCATGAGCTAACGAAAATTTTATTACACGGAGAGAAAGGTTATAGTAAATCTGACAAAATTATAGTAAACGACACTATCTGTTTTGTCAGCCCAAAAAAAGATTCTGTTTAGTAGATTCTGCTCTTATCCACTGTGCCCTTCTCTCCATGTAATTCAATCCACATACTACCAATATCTTGCACGAATATTGCATTGTAAGATTCAGTTTCTAGAAAGAGAACTGTTTTTTAAATTATATACCTAGAAAATAATTGTTGCCTTCACAAAACATCTTTATCATACTTACAAATAAAAAATTTGTCTGTTAAAACTTTTTCTACTTAAAACGTGATTGTTGTATTGGCAAGACAACTTTATCTACTTAAAAATCAAATTTGATGGCAAAACTACTTTTTCTATTTAAAAAGTAAATGTTGGCTCAAGGCAGAGGTAGACAATCTTACACGAACCTCGTTTTAAATAAATATTGAGAGCCTTACACGCAATGCTTATTCGTTCAAGAAAGTTGAAAGGGCTAAATATTTTTATGAATATCGTTTTATACTCTCAGAGAAAAAATATGTTTAACTTAGAGCTAAATATTTACTTATTCAAAATAAACTTTTTATTTGAAACCAATTAATAGTTATTTAATTATTTAGTTCTGAGAAAACAATATTTTTTTTATTTAATTCAAATAAATTATATTTTGCTGAAATGAACAATTTTTCTGGTTGAATATTATTTGTATATTTATATTTATGTTGACAACTTTTAATAGTAGAAAGTAGTAATTTTTAAGATTAATAAAAATATTTGTTAATGAAATGCCAATTTTAAAATTTAGCAATATACTACTTACGGAAATTATGTGACCTTTTTTCAATAATATTTTATTTTCCACCAACACTTCACATAAATAACAAAATATAAATTAAACTACTTTATCCCTTTTGGGCGTTGCGCCAAGTTTTATGGGCAATTGTATTAGGTGATCAAATCACCATTAATTCTTATTATAGTTTATGAGATTCCTAGGACTTAACACCGAGCTTCGAATCCCTGACCACACTACTCTTTCGTTGAACATCCCGCAGATCCGTGGGACCATATATACTTTTTATCAAAATTTATCATCGTTACTTTCCACGCAATCTTTTCTCTCATTCGTATCATTACAATATTAGAGTTGTTTTAAAATCACAAAAAAAAGAGGTCACATAATTTCCGTTATTTGTGTAAGAGAATTAAATAATAAAAATTGAAACAATATATTTTAGGTGATGATCAAGATATTTTTCCAACTGTGTTACCAATGTTTCACATTTTTGGAATGAATTGTGTAACATTTTCAAGACTTGCAGACGGTGCTAAATTAGTCACATTACCAAAATTTACACCTGAATCTTACATTTCCACTTTAGAAAAAAATAAGGTATTATTTTACAATTTACATGGGTACTCTTAATAACATATATATTTATGTAGTTATAGTAATAGTCGTACTCTGAAAGGCAAAAAAACACAGAAAAAACCTAGTCTCATTTTTGTTGCAAATCAAAATGAGCCAATGGTAAACGACATAGACAGTGGCGCCACCAACCTGGTTCATTTTTGTTGCACATCAAAATGAGCCGCCTATACGGCTCATTCTGAGTTTAGTTTCTTTCTGTGTAATTGTTCCTGTGAAAAAGGGATTTTTTGTTTATAACCAAAACAAAAATTAACTTTTTTCCCCAGAAAAATTAACTACGTGTGCATATTGTTTTCGTTACACGGAAAACATTGCTTTATAAAACATTTTTTTTCAGTGATACTCTGATTTCAAAAAATCAGATAACTTTAACAAAAATATTATTTATGATGTTAGGTTATATTGCGAACCAACAAATATTATTATTGATTGATAAAATTAATTTTCAGCCTTTGTTGGTTCAGAAAAATGAGATGGTAATTGTTTCGTCCTTATCTTCAGATTATACACTTTTTATAAAGAGTGCGTAAATTGTGAGTTGTTTTCAAAAGTGTGTAACCTTTAGAGGATTTTTATAAGGCCGAAATGTGTATTACAATTATTATCACATTTTTTTGAATCAATTAAGGCTTTAAAACAGTGGATTCCCTTAAGCTTCTTCAAGTCAAAAAACAATTCACTGTTTATTTTATTATTATAATTTATTATTTTATTTCCACTTTTCCTTGTTTTGAAGTAACAATAAGTTGAAAGAGGAAAACAAAGTTTTCAGTAAAATAAAATTACCATGAGACGAAATGATAGAAAATAATAAATAGTAATAAGTAGTTACGCTCTAATTACACGCAACCGTGGAAAATATAAATGCAATATTCCTCTACTTATTATTTCTAAATCACCTGTTTTTTTTCATTTACACCTTTTATTTATTATTGTTAACCAATTCCATAGAGTTATTGTATTATTTTTATTATATTTTTAGGTTACTGGATTATTTTTGGTTCCTCCTATCCTTTTGTTTCTTACTTCATCCACCCTTGCAAAAAAGCGTCACTTGGATCATGTAAAATTTGTTTTTAGTGGAGCGGCGCCTCTTAGCGATACTGATTTTGAAAGGTTTAAGGAAAAATTTCAAGCACCCATTAAATGCTGTCAAGGTTATGGCCTAACAGAATCATCTCCAGCAGCATTTATTGAAAAGTCTGGAAAAAAATATGCCAGTATTGGTAAACCTGTTAGCAGTTGTCAAGCAAGATTAATCGATATTGAGACGAAGAAAGATATAAGTAAACCTAACAAAGCAGGTGAATTATGGATATCAGGACCTCATATTATGAAAGGTTATTATAATAACGATGAAGCAACTAGAGAAACATTGGAAAATGGTTGGCTCAAAACTGGCGATGTTGCTTACTTTGATGACGATGGTGATTTCTTTATTAGCGATAGAATAAAGGAACTTATCAAAGTTAAAGGTTTCCAGGTGAGATTATTATTATTATAGTATAGGTGGCAAATATCGATGCCAATTTCTTGAAAATTAAAGTTTTTGTAAACCCATCCTCTGGATATAAAATTTTGATTTTTCTTTTATATAAAAATTTTGTTAAGAATGAAAAGAAAGTTATTAAATAATTTTCCATATATATTGTTATGTATTCTGTTTTGTGGTTGAACAGGTAGCACCAGCTGAACTGGAAGCTATTTTGCGAACACATCCTTGCATCGCTGAAGCAGCAGTGATTGGCATCAAAGATGCTAAAGCAGGAGAACTTCCAAAGGCGTTTGTTCAACTTAAGAAAGATAAGGAAACTTCCGAAGAGGAAATACAAAACTTCATGAAAGGAAAAGTTTCTGAATATAAAGAATTACGAGGTGCTTATTCTTATCTCACCTACAGAATTTAAACATGTTTAATATATTTTTATTGATACACGCAATAACAGTTTATGTGGAACAGCTAAACCATTTAATAGAATAACTGTAAATAATATTTCTATTAAAAATAAAAAATTGTAGCTATTTTAAATTATGTTAGCTGGTCTAAGTAAATTTTGTTTTGCATATAATAATATTACATAAATTTATATTTTACTTTTGCATTTTATTTCAGGAGGTGTGACTTTTTTGAAAGAAGTTCCAAAAAGTTCGACGGGAAAAATTTTACGTTCTAAACTTAAAAGTAGTTAATTAAAAAAATATACAATATACAGAAAAAGAAAAGTGTTATGTTAACACTAACTTCTCACCTGCAACAAATTTTAACCAGAAAAGTTCTATCTTTTCACACTACTTAAAATTTTCCTGCATCAAGAATATTACCTTTTATATTCTGTGATACACATACGGGGTGTATCAAAAGTCTCGGGACGGTTGGATATCTCTTAAGGACTTTATTTTTTTAAAAACATTTTTAAAAACAATGTTATTGAGAGCAATTTTTCTATCCAAACATGTGGTGTATATAATGTGGGCCTTAAAAAATTTGTTTCTTTGCCAAAAATTTAAAATTTTATCAAAGTTGTGGAACATTTGTCGTGTTATTTGCACAATAACCTTAATTTTAATTTTCAAAGGGGAAAACATTTTCAAGGCATCAATTTTTTGAGGCCGAAAGTTAATCAAGTGTTAAACAGTTACTTCTTAAGAGATATCCAACCGACCAGGTACTTTTGAAACACCCTATATACTGTTTTATTAAATGCATTTTTGTGCTTTTACAATTTTTAACAACAAAATGGAATAATGTAAATAATGTTATTTGTTTTACAATAAAATATATTCTTTATAACTTAATGTCATATTTATTACTTGTACTGTACCTTATTTTTTTATTTTAGAGGAGATTCGGGTACGTAGATTTTAAGGTTTTTACAAGATACAAGTTTTTTATAAAAATAAAATTCAATAATGAATCAATAAATTAATAAAAAATATTAGTCAAACCGAATTATATAGCATTTTCAATTTGTTCGAATTATTATAAAAATACTGTAAAAATTTAATAAAAACCGTTGCTTATTGTTAGTTATAATATTAAATATCAATAACTTCATTATTAATAAAAAAAAACGTTTTCTTGCAAAGTACCCGTGTACAAAATTTTGCCATGGCCCAAACCGGGGCCAAACCTGGCGTCCATAAAATTGGCATGAAACGCCTTACCCAATTTGGGCCTCATTTCCCAAGTCTTGCCCATATTGGGTGAGGCGTTTCAACCAATTTTTGGGCCAAATATGGAGGTTGGTTCAACAATAGGCAAAATCGTATCGTCTTGAAGACGATTTTCATAACAAAACGATGTGCGTGCATAATTTTTCTATTGTCGCAAATCTTTGTATTTTCTCTCTTAATTTGAATCCGTGAAATTTCACTAATTCAAATTGAGAGAGTTGAAAATCGTCATCAAGACGATACGATTTTGCCTATTGTGGAACCAGCCTGAATGTGGCGTCTCGTTTCATGTCGTTTAATATTGGTTCATTTTGAGCTGCAACAAAAATGAGCTCAGATTGTTTCACATTTGTTTTGTGACATCATCAATGTTTTTTGTTTTTCTAAAATTTATTTTTAGTTATTTTTAAAATGTACTTACCTTTCGTAAATTATTTAAAAATGTCATGGAATTCACTACCATTGTTAATATAATTTCACACTCCACGTCCATCCATTAATTTTCCAGCAAACATAACCTTAAGCACAAAATCTCTTTCAATAATTTTCTAAACTCTTTTTTGATAAATCAGCCATTGGATTCACAACCCACAGAAAAAGTCACTTTTTTACAGCGTTGCCCGATTTTGTAGAACACAGTCTTCGTAATCCTTCACGTAACTCACATTGGTAACGTCACGTCTCATTTTGAGACATGAGTAAAACCAATTCCGAAAAAAATGTGTTTGATAAAGTTATATAATCAATTGAAATTTTTTTGGTGTTTTAAATAAAAAATATTTTCTCGCGATCCAGTTGACAAATTTAAAAACAAAAAAATAGGTTTTTCTCGTTTTGGAATGTGCACCCAGAGAAATGATATATTTGTCTCACAGCCTAATAAATATTTATTTGATTGAAATAAATTTTTATTTGATTTAAATAAAAAATTTTATTTACGCCAAATAAATAGGCTAGTAGGCTGCGAGACAAATATACGTTTATTTAACTCAAATATATTATATTTGGTTCAAATAAAACATTTCTCTGGGTATGGTATTGAAAAATACTTATTATTTTAAATAATTTTTTAAGGGGCTTCTATAGCGCCGTCCATATACCACGTGGACACTTTAGGGGGGAGGGGGGTTTAAAAATGTCTAAAAATGTCCATGATTTCAATGTATTTTCGTATCCAAAATGAGGGGAAGGAGGGTTAAAAATGAGTAAAAAATTGTCCACGTGGTATATAAACGGCCCCTATTCTACCCAAACATATAAAATTAAATTAAAATGCAAATTTTTACTCAATATAATTAAATACTACAAAATAAAATCCTACACAGTAAATTGCACAAAGGCAAACTTTACACCGTTAACTGATGACGAAAAATTCTACACAATAAAATTTAAAAGCAAATTATAATTTGTACCGCCCTGTTTTTTAAATTGTTTATTTAAAAAATGTTAATAAAAAAGTAAAAAACAATGTTCTTCATGTCCCATGTAAAATTTAAAAATTGTTTTATATTTTGCATAAACTGAGAATAAAACTATTAAGAAAAAAATGACACTTAATTGGAAAAATGTTCTTATTAATTAAAAATTAAAAAAAATTATTATTATTATTTATTACAAATAATAATAATGTATACGAATAATTATTCAATTATTATAAAATGAAATATAAAATAATTTTTTAATTAACTTTTTCCAATTGAGTGTCATTTAATTTTAACTGTTTTATACTCAAAAATATATGCGGAATATGAAATAATTTTTAAATTTTACATATAGGATATGAGGAAAACTTTATAATTAAAATTTTATAAATAAATTAAAAAACTGTTTAAAATAAAAATTATTTTTTAATACTGCGTTTAAAGAGGAGGAAAATCTATTTTTTTTTAAATTTGTCAACTGGATTCGGAGAAATTTTTTTTTATTTAATATAGCTTAATATTTCAAATGTTTATAACTTTAACAAATAAATTAATTAATTTTAATTTTAGGTGATCCGTTTGAGAAATTCTGACCCTTTTTGCAGTTTAATTGGGCACACCCCACTCACCCCTACATAAAACTATAAATATAGGACAGCATATATAGGAGTCACACGGACGCATAATGAAATTGGAAAAAATTCCAACGGGCGAATAATAATATGTGCCGATTAAGCCATACAATTGGGGGATCCAGAAAAATCCCGAAAGGCCATCGTTTATCGTGATCTGGTTACAATTCCCAATCCAATTCAATTTGCCTAAAAAAACTACTTTTCCTGCTTAAAAAGCGAGACAAGACATCATTTTTATGTATTGAAAAATAAAATTCGAAAATTTGTCCGGAAAAACGACTTTTTCTTCTTATAACGAGATTATTGCCTTGGCTAGGCAACTTTCTCTACTTAAAAATAAATTTTTAGTGAGAAAACTGCTTTTTCTAATTATTAAAAATAGAATTTCTTCTAGCAAAACAATTTTATTCATAACTTAATAATAAACTTTGCCTGTAGAGCCGAATTGACTCATACATATCCTGGTCGGTCTTTTGCTTTTTCCCGGGATATAATATAGAAACTTTAATCATCCAAAATGTTGCCTTTGACTTTTTCGTACTTTCGCAAATCTTTTATGTACTTACCATAAAATTTGTTCTTATATATAATATATTTGTTTGAAATGAGAAATCTAGCAAATATATTCCCTCTTTTTTGTCCTTCATCCTCTGTCTAGCTGACTTTTTCACTCTTTTCTCTTTCTTAAGTAGTTTTCTGGTAAACCTCGGTCCTTTTCTTCCTTTCTTTTGACATAATTGCGCTTTCTCTTTTCCTCCCATTCTTTCTTCATTCTATTGCCGTGCCATGCTTGGCGCAAACCCCACCCCCATCAAAAAGGGAGCTTGAGCTTGCGAGCTTCAGTCGTCCGCGCACCAGCGGCAAGTCCGCCACCCTTGGCACATTATTTACGTAATCTTGCATCTGTCGTTTACTAATTCGCTGATATTTACAACAACAAAACATTACGTCCTCTTCAAAATGTACGTAAGTATTAAATAAATGTTTGCAATATTTTTCAAATATATAAACAATCAATTCGGATTCTATAAAACATAACTGCTAATTTAACATATTGCATAAATAATTTGTATCATAAAAATAGAAAATAATATTAAATTTTTTTAAAATATACCTATAAGAATGCACTGACAATGTCCATACTGTAAATCTACTATAAACATACTATGTATGCAAAAACATATTCATTGTGATTTTCAGATACACACATATTTTTAATTAGTAAACAATGTGAATTACAATTTATTCACATTAAAATATATTGACTGTTTACTATAATTTAATTAATATATTGAGCTACATATATGTATTAAAATCTTTAAATGAATGCACAAATTTCGATGAAAATTTAAAAATAAATTATTTATGTAATTGTTTATAAAAAAAAATGTTGATAATATGTAATTTATATAATGCACTTGTCATCCAAAACATATGAGCCTTTTTTTATTTTTTAATTTACTTTTAGAATGTATTCATGACTTGGTATTTAACTAGGCTTTAAGGACATCAACAAGAGAGCATTTCATTTTTAATTAATTTCCAACTGCCTTTTAATTTTCTTACCAAGATGTAAAGGAAATTTTATTATCAACGTATTTTTTTATAATTAGTGTATATGTAGTGAAATTATTATTATTATTAAAAGTCCTTTTTTTATAAATGTTACAAGTTTAGTGTATTTACTTTTCTTTGAAAAATAATAATAAATGTTGAAATTTTTTTAAATTTTAAACGAAAAGATGGATTTATATTTATTTATATTTATTTTCAACGACAAATAACAAAACGTTTAGGATAAACGATTAAAAAAACAAATTTGTTTTGAGATGAAGAATTATAAAAAAAAAACTGAAAAAAGGTTTTTGATAATTTTGTATAACACATTGCACTAAAAAAAATTTATTTGATTCAAATAATCGGTTACTTGACTATTATCAAGTGAATATTTATTTGTATCAAATAATTATTATTATTATTTGAGAAGGTATTTTTTTCAAGTACAGAAATTATTGATTCGAAAACAATTTATTTAATTCAAATAAAAATTATTTGATCCAAGTAAATATTTATTTGATAATAGTCGATTATTTGAATTAAATTTTTTTTTACTGTGTAAGAACTATCATTGAGACGAAAATTCATAGAATTTTTCATTAAAAAAAAATATTTCTTTAATAATTTTTTGTCAACTTTGTCTACAAATCTCATTACAATTGTTTTAAATATATCATCAATTCATTCATTTGTTTTTGTATTTCTTATGAAGACATCTATAATATTTAAAAAGGAAATCTTAATCACTCATTTATAATTACCCTTTTTCTCTGCACATTGCTTTCAACAAATGTAATTTTTATTACTTATGCATAAAGAAATTAATTAATTTTTATTATTCGTTTCATAAAAAATATAGTCATTGACAGGTTTTAGCGCTTTTAATATTACCAGCATCCTGGAACTCGTATATTGTATGTAATATCTCAATAATGCAAAAGTATTAACTTTACTATATATATATAATATAATATAATTTTCATTCTTTTGAGTATAGGCAAACTAAAACAGCTGCCATAAAATATTGACATTCTGAAATTCAAACTGACGACATAGTGAAAATTAATAATTATAAATACATTATTATATTTGTGGTTGTTCTTGAAATACCAATCAGTAATAAGTTGATAAATATGAAGCTGGAGTCAATCAGTAATGAAAATCAATATAATATTTCAGCTACAAAATCAACGAAACGCATTCTCATAACGGAAATGGAGGAACGATAAAAAAAATTAAATTAGCTTCAATAAGTTATTGCTGTAAATGAGTGCAGTTATCTAGATACTTATAAATGAATCGTGAATTTCAAAAAGGCTCATCTCGAATTTTACCAATTTTTAGGAAGCACAAAAAAATGTAATTTTCTTTCCAACAGTTTAAATTAAACGAATAATATTGTGTGTCTGAAGTTCTGAACGTTCAAATGAACGAAATAATTTTATTGGTCAAATTTTTTTTTTTTAAATTACTAAATAATAACTAAAACATTTAATAAATTATTAATTTATTTTTTGATACTAAAAGCAATATTTTATAATAAAATTTGAAGTTTAAAAAGTAGTAAACAAATTTTTCATTTAGAACTGCCGGTACATATAATACTTTCTGTAGAGAGAATGGGGCGTAACTAATTAATAGTCCTAGAAACGAAATCGTGCATCTGATTAAAATCCCATTTACACTGTAAACTTGTCATATCAAAATAAACATGCACTCACGAGATTTAAAAGCATGTGCGATGATTAGGTGACGCCATCACAACAATTTTAATTTTACTCTTAAAATATTGAATTCAGGGTGCCTAGCACTTTTCACAAATAAAATTCCAGGACTTTTCCAGGTTAAAAATTTTTTTGTAGGAACTATTTTAATAAATTTTAATGACAAAAATACTTTAAGTGTAGGTACAAGATTAAATTATTTTTAATCTATATTTTCATTATAAACTATTAATGAATACATTTAATTTTGGGTATCTTTAGGCCTCGGACCAAATTTAGGGGGAAGAAAAAAGACTTTTTAGTCAATTTACATTACAAGAAAAGTCGAAGAAGTAAATTTATTTTTTTTAATAAATATAATTAGATAGTAAATACTTTATTATTATTATCAAACAATTATTATTATAATTATTATATTATTATAAGAAATTAAATAAGTTTTATTAATTTTCTAATCTGATATATGCAAATCATTCGATTTCAGAAGTTTAGAAAATGTTTTAAATATGTAGTAATTAAATTTTTGAAGATTCTAATTAAAGTATTATTGAAAAAAATGAATTTAGAAAAATTTACAAAATAATTGAAATTTGAAAAAACTGCAGTTAACATTTATAGAAGTAATTTAATTTTTGGAAATTTTTAAATAAAATTTTTGTAAATATGAATTGCTGAAAACTTTTTTATAAGCTTTGGATAATAAGAATTGAGTTTAAGAGAATTATGAATTAAGAAATGTTTAAAAAAATTAAATTTTTGAAAATTTTGATTAAATTTATTAGAATTAATAAATTTTCCGAAGAATTTTAAAAATAATTGATTTTCAGGAGATTTTAAATCGAAATTTTCATAAATTTTAATTAATGAATTTTTTTCTTTTTTACAAACTTTAGACAATAATTGACTCTAAAAGAACTTTTATTTGAAAAACATTTTAAATAATAGAATTTTTAAAGAACTTGATTAAAATTATTGAATATAATAATAATAATTAATTTTGCGAAGAATATTAGTTAATATTCATTTAATAATTCAGTTTTGGAAGATGTAAATTTTATACTAAAAAAGTCGTATTTTTTTTATAAATGTTTTAAAAAAAAGACATATTTTATTAATATGAGTCGAAAATAGTCGCATGCATTGAAAATAGTCGATAAAAGTCGGAAAAGTCGAACATATTTTTTGTTTTATCAAATTTTGTGTTTCCGAACGCGGTTGAAAAAAAATTCCTACACGAAATAGCAAATTTCAGGACTCAATGAAAAATTCAAGAATTTTTCTAGGTTTTCTAGGTAAAAATAAAATTCAAGAACTTTTACAGGTTTTCAAGGAATTCCAGGTCGCTAGACAAATCAATCCAGGATTGATTTAAGATTTTGTGAAGTTGTCTTAAATATGATGATAAACGACTGTTATGTGCGAAAATTGTGATATTTTGTTGAATTAATTATTATGAAAAACCGTTGCCAAGTTGAAGTATGAATTTTTTGTGTTTATTTCATGAACACTCTGCTTCGTCATGGAGTTATGGAGTCTGTAAAATAAATGCAATATATAAAAAACTCACACATGAAAATTTAATAACAAAACAGCACCAAAAGTCACGTTTTTAAATAAGTAAAATGATGCATTTTGAAAAACTCTACAAAATAAAAGAAAAATATTTAAGTGTCAATACATTTTTTTTAAATTACAAGCAAAAACGTGTTTTTTTAAATTTTTAAATGTAAAAAATATTTAGTCTTGATTAAATTTGCTCAAAGTACTTTTATTTTATGTCACCCTGTGAGACCTACAATTTAAAAAAATTCATCCCTGTAGCTTTTATAGAATTCGAGAAATTTATGAAAATTTAATCAAACATTTTTTAAAAATGTGATTCTGGATTTGTGAAGTCGAAAAACATAAAAATATATCAAAAAATCGAATTTAAAAAATTTTGGTATGACATTATTTTCTCTATGAGGAAGTAATACTTGGAAATTGATAGAAAATTCTAACAGTAACTCTTTTCTAACATTAAATTTCTAAACATTTCAATAATTATTAATTTAAAAAAAATATCAATTTTAGTTTGTAAGAGTTTTCTCATTATATTTCAGACTTTTCCACAAGATCTCAAAACAATTCATTTAATATTTTAAGAGTAAAGTTCCTGACAAAATTAATATTGTTAATTAATAACTTAATTAATTTAAATCAAATTACGAAAAAGAAAAAGTAGGTATACTTTTTTTTAATATGTAGAATCAAAAAAAAAAAAAAAAAAAATTGTTGCAATCAAATTTAAATTTTGAATGAAAATAATCCAAAGAATGTTAAAAGTTTGATACTCTAACATGAGTCTATGGGCAAATCCACAGAACCGGCCGATTTCATGTTACTCACATATTTTTCTATTTTAGAAGTATTATATTAATTATTTTCATACTTCAACCATTTTGTAATATCTCTGAGAACCTATTGAAATAAGAAAATTGAATAAATGTGAACCTTCTAGTCTTTTATAAAAAATAAAATCGAATTAAGTAACTTAAAAAATAAAATTTACGGTGTTACTCCAGGTATAAATTTTAATTCTTATAGGTATAACTTGTTCGGCATAGATCCGAACAATTCCAAACTGTGGTGAATTATAGTTTACTTATTGAAGAATGTTTTGAAAGTAATAAAAAATATGTGCTC